CTGAACAACTACAGGGTACAAATGACACACTGTAATCTGATCAATACAGATGAAATACTGGGAGTGAACATTCCTCTTGTGAATACACATACACAATATCTGCAGGCACCTTGTATGGCAGTAAAAGTATTGAAGCTGAGCAAAATGTTCTTTTTGCTTTCTTACACTTCAAGTGAAATACTTTGATCCTAGTGTGGAATAAGACAGAATATAAGAACAGGTAAAGCTGTCAGAAAATAGAACTGTCCTTTTCCAGCTAACTATACTGCTATATATAAATCCATCAGAGGGGAACAATGAACAAAAGACAATTCTGTTTCCTTAAAGATCATCTTTTTCAACTCTGCAGTAGATGCTCTAAAATTGCAGATCAAAAAGAGAAAACTTATAGAAAGAGTCAGAAACTAATAGAAAAATAACAGCACAAGAAATATAACAAACAAGGAAAGATTATTTCTTCAAGAACAGAGAATCATCTGGCCTTCTGACTACTTACTGGGCAACAAATTTTAGATCAGATCCTGCAAACTGCTACAGTTTCAGCTCTTCCCCATACTTCCTGGCTCAAATTAACACAACAGATTGCTCTTGCTGATTCAAAACTATGCGGCAATACATTCAGGAAAACAAAATGACTTTCATGTTAAATATGAAACACTCAGAAAGCTCATAAGGCCAAAATCCTACGAAGGGATACATTGTGTCGGCCATGATGACCTGGAGACCCTCTATTAACAGAGCTCAGTCTAGGGATCTGCTCAATTAACACTCTTGGTATAAAGTTGGCATCTGCTTAATTGATGAGATCGTTATGGACAGATGCCCCTATTGAAAGGATGAGAGTCACAGCTGTATCTGCAACCCACTTTTCATTAAGAGTAAAATTCCAGGGTCTCAATAGCAAGGGTCAACACAGATGAACATTATTCATGTTCAAACTAGTGGAAACACACAGTTTACCTGCCAGCTTTATTTTAACAAAAAATAAATGGCAAATTAGTTCAGTTTTGGTTTGTGGGTTTGGATTTTTTAGGTTCTAAGGCATGTGTATTGTGAGACACTTGAGCACTCTCCTGCTAATCATCTCTCCATTTCTCAGTCCACTCTGCTTGCATTCCCAGTGTAGCCCAACACTGTGCTCACGATTTCACTGCTGCGCTGTCTAATTGACAGTTTTAAGAGCTCCTTCTCTCAAAGGCTCACATAGCAACCACAGCAGAGCAGGCAGAATATAGTCAACATTTTACACCACCAGTGTAAGGCCAAAGTTTAACACTAAAATCCCGAGGCTTACACTAAACAAGTCCAGGGGCAGACACCAGACCCCTTCTCTGGGCAACCACCCTTGACTGGAGCCCCAGCAGAAGGCCCAGGCAGACCACTGCAGGGAGGAGGATGATAAGATTTATCTGAGCTGTTCGTCACCACCATACAACACTAAAGTTGATTTCAGCATATGCTGCAGTGATACAATTACACAGGGCAAGGAAGTGGATGTCTGGATTAGTTTTCCACAGCCTACAGTGACCTATCTGGCTCTAGTTTTAGAACACATTAAGTGTTCAGCTAGCACTTGCCAACGCACCCCTGAATAATGTGTATTGAATACTACAGAAAATAACTCAGTCAATACTGTAGATGGAGTTTATATGCAAAAACATAAATACACAAATGTATTTGAGAACCATTAAGCTCTCCTTAAATGTAGTTGTCAATTAGGTACTATTCAGTAGGAATGTATTTATAGATGGGTTTCTTATAGATCACCCAAGGTCAAATACCACTACGTGCTATCATCCATGTGTACATGCAGTACACATAAAAATGTCACTTCGTTAAATTAGTGGATGACCCAGCTGGCAGAAAAGCAAACAGCAAGAATATGGTAGCTTTACAAAGCGATCTGCACCATCTAAATGTCATACACAAAACAGGTTTTCATAACCACTAATGCAATGTTACATGACCAAAAAGAGTAAGAGCTGTGACAACAAAGTTATTTATCTTAGCAGAGGCAACCTAACAACAGGCTTTCAACACAATACAATGAGAAAAGGAGCACTTGGTTGACATCTGAATGAGGTTGCAATAACCACTTCCCTTTGTAGATGTTTTGGTGGAACCTGTCACCGAACAGAGTATACAGTTCTAGCATTCCCATTTTCATCTCTTTATCAGACCAAAACCAGAAGAACCCCACCAAGCACAGGCTGCACATCTGACCTATGCTAATGAGTAGAAAGTCCTCTATGATTTTTTTTTTCCTTTTTTTAGCAGAAAAAGGATGGTGACAACCATACTGTACATTTCAATTTAGGGGGAAGGAGTATTTTGCTTTCAAAACTAACTATGAGGACAAACTAAATGGTGAGTTCTCCATCTCTTTATGCCTCTGAATTGAGAATGCATGTCTATTTGAAAGATAGGCTTTAATCACACATAAACGATTATGCTCTACACAGACATAAATAACAAGTTTTAATGCATATAATATAGCAAAAATCACATCAGAAAATCTAATGGTCTCTCCTGAGCCCCAAAGGGGAGTGGAAGGAACATAATCAATCAATGTATTTGGCTTTATAGATTCTCCTGCTGAAGAAATGGATGTGGTCAGCCATCCTGTGGCCAGGGAGGTACACAAAGAAAGTCTCTTCATTTAGAGCCACTGAATGAAACAGCTCTTGATAGGCAGTGAAATTGGTATCTAGAGTAAGACAGCTTATTACCTCAGCTTTTCACGGCTTTCAAATTTACACCATGTGTTGTAGATTAAGAGTTACTTTTTCACTTTTTATGGCTTCCTAAAAATAAAGCATGTACACAAAATGCAGAATAGCAGCTGTTTATGACTTTTTACACTGTAAGGAAATGAATTCCATTTTGAATTCCATTCCTCATTTTTAGTTTTGGTTATGTTATTTTTGGAAGATGAAATAGTGGCATTCCAGCTAGTCTTTTTAAGATGTTTTCCCTGACTCTTAGGTTCTGTTGCTGCATTTCTACTTTAAACTAAAAATACATTTCCACTTTTGATAATTTACACTGAAAGTAAGCTGTTTAGTAAACAGGTATATTTTTTAATATGAATATGATATTTTCACATTCAGACTGCTTAGCAGCATGTAAATGCAAAATTAAAGTCAAATAGCATAAACCAACAATACTAAAGCCCTAAAGAAAAAGCTTTCACAGGAAATCCATTGCAAATTTCATAAATAAGAATGATAAACAGTAAATTATTTAATACACAGACAAAGAGAGTGCACAAGCTAGGATATTTGATTGATTAGTGTTAGATTTTACTTGCTGCTAATTTTTTAAACAATACTTACGGAGTGCAGAGCAAAGTGATGACCTTTAGCATTAAAACGTGCTTAAAAATGCATTTACAATCCAACTAACACTCTCCTATGGTTTGCTAATTTGCCCAAAGTGTTACATGAAGTGGTCTACATTGTAAGCATACAAAACAAAGAAACAAACAGAATCAAGTTCTAAGCAACCCAGTCTCAATTTTGCAGTTAGAATTTCTCTTCCGAAACATAAACATATTTCAGTGTATTTAATCTATGTCCAAGGTCCAAGAGGCGAGACAATACTAGAATCACACTTGTTGAGTATAAAAGCAGAGTGTGAAAAAGTCTACTGGGGTTAAGTATTAACCTGATGCATTTTTCAGAACGACTGTACTATTTTTAACTTCTCTTTTTTGGCCACAGGTCAAAGTTTTCCTAGCAAAATACCAAAGTGAAAATGCTGGGAGCGAAGCCCAGAGGCAGCTCTCTTTGCTTTGGCCTAGGCAAAAACTTATCTGAACCCAGTCACATCTGTAGCGCTATTTCCCACTCCCCTCCACTGACTATGGCTGTCATTATGCCTCTGAACATCTATAAGAGGAGTAACACAGCACTACAGCCTCAGGAAGAACATTTTTCAGATGTTATAGGAAATTCCTATATTCTCCACACAGCACAGGCATACATACTGTTCAGTCAGTTCCTGTATTTTTGGCCAAACAGAACTGAGCTATTTGAAAGCAGAAGAGAAAAAAAAAGGACACAGTGTAAGTGCCTTTAGCAACTCTTGGAAGGACTGGGATTTATTCTCCCCTTTTCTGCTCCTCATAACTCGGACACATTGGAAATCTTGGGACACATTGGAAATATAAGATTTGAAGACTCTAAAGTTCAGTTAAAATAATAGCGATAATAATAACGATAATAACAATGATAATGATAATAATAACAACAACAATAATAATCTCTTACTGCCTTTTCAGAGTTTGAATGTTTTAAATGGGGAAATCTAACTCCCTTCCCACTTCTTCCCGAGGGCACAAATTTCTCACTAAAGTAAATTATATTTCATACACTCACACAGAAAAATGCTATTTGAAACAGGAGACAAGACGAATCAATTTGCCCCAGTGGAAAATAAACGTGACCCCACAGGACCCCCCAGTTACATTTCTCCCTTAGGCGTGTCCTTTTCCTGAATTACTTCCACATCACACAGCAACCTCATCTTTACCAGAGGACGTTTTGGAGGGGGTGAGCGATGGGTGCCCTCGGCGCACACAAAGGCAGGTACTTTGGGGACGGGCACGCCGTGATTACGAGGCGCGAAAGGGAACGGTGTGAACGATGCTGGGCGAGAAAACAAGGCGCTTTCCTCCCCCGGTCAGATCTCGCCGGGGACATTTCTCACTTCCCCCACAATAAGATGTACCTAACCGGGAAGCGCTCGCTCCCCTCTCACGGCGCCGCGTTCGTCCCCTCACCCAGCACAGCCCCGGGGGGCGAGGGCCGATCCCGCCACCTCCCCGCCGCCGGTGGCCGGGCCGGGGGCGTGGAGAGGATCTCTCGTCCTCCCCCAGGAAAGCTCTCTCGGGACGCGGGAGCTCTTTCCTTCCTTCCCGTTCCCTCCCGCCCGGCCGAGGCGAGGGCAACGCTCCCTTTGTTCCCGCCGCGCTGCCCCCGGGCGCGGCCGCCCCTCACCAGAAGGCTCTCCACGTTGACCGGGGAGCGCGGGTCGCGGATCATGGACTCCAGCTTCCTCTGGCGGCCCTCGAGCATCCCCGCCGCGGCTCCGGCGCCCTCGGCCGCCAGGGAGCGCCGACACTTCCCGCCCGGTGCTGGCTCATCTCGCCCCGCTAGTGCCGGGCCGCGGAGGGTCACTGGCGGGGGCGCGGGCGGGCCTAGCGCGGCGGCGATCCGGGGAAGGGCGGGGGGGGCGAGGCGGGAGCGGAGGGCAGCGCCGGCCGTGGCCGCCGCCGGGCATGAAGGGGCGGGAAACGCGCTGCTCGCCGGCGGGGAGAGGGGAGGGGAGACTGAGAGGGAGGAGGAGGGAGGGAGGGACGGAGCGCTTCCGCGTGGCCCCGCCTCTCGCCGCTCCGGGGCGTCCTCGGGCGCGGCTCAGTGCCGCTCGCGGACATCGCTGCGGGCGGAGGGAGGCGGCGGAAAGGGGAGCGGCCGCCGGGAGTCGGTCTCAGAAAAGGCTCGGGGGGGCGGTCCCTCTGCAGCGCTCGCCTGGCTGCCCGGCGGAGCCACGATCCCGCCGGCTCGCCGTCCGCTCGTCCCTCCCTCACCGCTCCGGCCTGCGGTCCGCCGGCCGGCCGGCGCGGCCGCCGCTCCAGCCGCGCAGGCGGCCTCCCCTACCCAGAAGGCCCCGCTGCGAGCGGCGCATTGCTCGGCGCTCACTCACAGCCCCACGATAACCCTGAGCTCAGCGGGGCAGCGGCCGGGCCCGGGCGGGGCGGCCGGCAGGGAGAGGGTTCTCTGCGTTCGGGCACAGGGAACTCGCTCTGCCCGCGCACCGTGAAACACGCGGGGAAAAAACAAAACCAAAAGCCTCCTGACATTAGAGAAAGTGTGCGAGCAGCGTTTCCGGTAGAGCAGCAGTACTCAGGGCGTGAGTCATTAAATCATAGAATGGTTTGGGTGAAGGGACCCTAAAAATCGTCTAGTTCTAACCTCCCTGGACACCTTCCACTAGACCAGGTGCTCTGAGCCCCATCCAACCTGGTCTTGAACACTTTCAGGGATGGGGCATCCACAACTTCCCTGGGCAACCTGTTCCAGTGCCTCACTACCCTCACAGCAAAGAAGTTTTTCCTACTGTGTAATCTAAACTTACTCTCTTTCAATTTGAAGCCATTCACCCTTGTCCTGTCACTACATGCTTTTGTAAATAGTTTGCCCCATCTTTCCTTAAAGTTCCCTTCAGGTACTGGAAGGCAGCAATTAGGTCACCCTGATGCCTTCTCTTTTCCAAGCTGAACAATGCAAATTCTCTGAGCCTTTTCTTATAGAAGAGGTGCTCCATCCCTCTCCTATGTGTATATCCTACGTGTATGAGAGGGAGGATGGAGAGAGAACTAGATGGTGCTGGGGAAGGTGCAGACCACCCCTGTGCCCCCTGAGGAAGATGAATCTCCACACTGTGCTAGAGGTGGGTGGAGCCACCTCACCACACTCGGTGGGCACTTTGAGGGGTCAGGATGCTGTTTACCAGACACAGGCAAGAGGGGCTGGAGCAGGGAGGGTGTCACTGATGCCCAAGTTGTGGCTGCAGGGGTGGCAGTGGTGAGTTGGATGGCAGAGATGCTCCAGAGATGTGGCTACTGGGCAGATGTTACAGGGCAGAGCAAGAGAGACCATGGAAGTGCCATTCGCTGAAGTGGAGGGACCTCAGGGAGGAAAGGTTATCATTTTACTGTGTTGACTTTCAGCTGATAGCTGGATGTCAGTGAGCTGATGTCAGAAAAATGGCCCAACATTTTAACTTGAAAGGAAGAAGAGAGGGAGTCAGAGAGAAGTAAATATGTGAGTCACTCACATGGCTTTGAGCGAGATCACTCTCAGTGATATTCTGAGTCAGGGCCCCGACTCAAGGGGAGGTCTGTTCTGAATATCAACCCAAACTCCATAACTGGATTCAGTTTTTACAGTATACTGAATCAAAATCCTCAAACCTGACAGAAATACACACACACATGAACATTTTGAAAAGTCAAATTGGGCACTATGACTCACACTTCTTTCAGTGAACCACATTGAGTTTGTGAGTTTCCTGAAGGAATTGGTGAAAATCTGTTTGAGAGAGGCACTGGTTATTTATATCTTAGGACTGCTTCATCTCCAAAACAGATTAGGATCTGCTTAAACTGCAACACTACAAAAAAAATCACATAGTTTCCTTGAGCAGTTTACTTTGCTGTGAGATAAAAGAACTAGGTGCAACAACGAGTTGGGTTGCTACTGGGGTTAGCACATGGTACTGGTAGGATCATGAAGTTACACACCCAAGCACAAGTTAAAAGCTCTAAATTACCTAAAATAAACATGATTTCTTCATTTACAGCCAATTCATTGGCTAATTTCTTGTAAGTGGCACAGCAGAAAAGTTTCAGGTTTTTTTAAGAAAGGATTTAAAATAGGCTTGGACAACAGAGCAAACTTGGGGAGTGTGTTTCCAGTGATTGATAAGAAGCCTGTGCTAGGTTTTGCTAATGTCAACAGCGATTTTGGGGGTGATTTCAATGAGCTTGGAGTCAAGCACCAGGTTATATGAAGAGCTAAGCTCTCTCTCAGTTTCCTCTTGGTATAGGCTAGGTGCTTCTCTTTTCCTCATTTTTTCTTATCTATGAAATAAGCTTTGTAAAAACTAATCTTTACCTAGCTTATATGATTTAGTGACATTGTTGAGGGTGCTATCTAAACAAAGGTAACAAAGAAATTCTTAAATAAGCATTACAGCCCTTTTTACACAGAAAAAAAAAGTGTGATTGTGACTTCAAAAGCAAGTGTGTAGAAACAGTACCTTCTTGAAATTCTTACCCAATAGATCTGTTCCTCCAGCCTTCAGGACATATCTGTTTACTGACTAAACAAGTTTTAGTCTGTTACAGGGACAAATTGACAACGGCAGTCTGCTGAATTCCTTTGTATGACACAAATCCTCAACAAAATCATCACCAGAAGCTTTATTGCTTTATATTGGTTATAAGTGACAAAAAGGGTACAGAGAAAGCCAGATCCCTCTCTCAGTATTTGCAAAAAACACTGTTTTAATGTGCCCTAAAGGAAAAATAACACCACCTTCTGTGGTCTTTTTGCAGTTCTACCTTTTCTACCTTCAGTATATCTCTCCTATATATCTCACCTATGCGTATATCTCTCACCTATGCCTAACAATGACCATCTAAGGAAGAACTGTTTCTACCCAGTCTGTGTATGCTAGTTTTGAAGTCTGATGCAGTGACTTGTCAAATGCTATTTACTATGTTTTTTAAGGGAAAGTCCAAGCCTTCCAGCATGCATGCTGCAGCTTTAAGCCTAGGGGCCACAGTTGGATCCTTCACCTCTCTTTCTGCTCCCTAAAAAGCCATTTAACTCTTTAGGTGTCTACAGTCCAAATATGTTTTAGGTGTCCTGATGCAGTAGGGAATTTGCTGTTGACTGTTTTCAGTACTGGCTGCATTTTTTGGAACAGATATTTAAGAAGTTGGTAAATGAGGCTTATTGGTTAAAAACCATCCCCTTCAGGTCATTCCTTTATGGTATTCCATAGGGACCAAGCCTTTTCAGGAAGAAGAGGGATTTGGCTCTGGACCTCAGGCATGCTTTCACTACTATCTATTGCAAAAGAAAAAGGAGACAAACTACTCATGTGTGCATGTGCTATGCTTTTAGCACCTGCTGCTTGCTAAGTAAGGCTTTTGCAAATCCTCTTCTTAGGCTCTCTGCAGATATTGAGAGGAGAACATAAGAGCACTACTGACAGAGGAGTTGATTCTACTAATTGGTGGGATCTCTAAAATTTAGGTTTAGCATCTCGTGTGGATGTAGTCCATTTTTGTGTTTTGCATATGGGAAAACAGATGTATAGAAGAATTAAGTGATATCATGGACTACCTTTGTCTAGCAACATGAACCGACTCTCATCCCAAATGAGAACCAAACTGTGACAACAGAGTAAGAACAACCCCTCCACCTCAATAGTCCAAGCAAATACAGAGTCTTTGAAAGCTTCCAAAATTAAACCATGTCAAACTGCTACAGGCAAAGGTGTATAACTATCGTCACTCGCCTGAGATGCTCCACTGACATAGATGGTTGTTGTGATGGAAATAGGACAAGAAATGGTTTTTCAGATAATGAGGTCTCGAGACTTTGGAGGGTGTAGCTAAAGATCATCATTCTACCTCCAGAAAATAACATAGATTTATTTCATTAGTGTGAGAGTTTCTTTACTTTTAGATTCATAAATATGAAATAGGGATGGAAAGGAATATAAGTTTATTGGGGGCAGGGGTTGGGCTTTTCTGTTTTTTTAATTTTCCTTTCTCACATACTAGTGTTCAGTCAGCCTAAGGGTTAATGAATTATTTTTCTGGATTAAAAATAAACCTAGTTTTCTTCATTTTGCATTAATGAAAACAAATGGGAAGGAAGGTATATGACTTGTGTATCTAGGACATATAAAAGCTCATGTTTTTGAACAACTCACAAAGTCAGCCACAATCTTCATCATTGATTTACCGATTCCAGTGTTATCTTGGGGCAAATACTACAGTTGTGTAAAGTCCACAAAAAACCCCCAACATTATTTAACATTCTTTCATTTAATTCATAGTACAACATCGGTTGCATCGCAACTAATGGCTTTAAATACAAGCAGCTTTTCAAACCCTATGCATTTCCAAACCAGCCTTCAGTAAGAATGACACTACCACATCAATTACTAGCACAGGCCAGCTATAAAATTACAAAACCACTCAGCCATCTATATAATTAAATGCAAACCAAAGTAATCAAGCAAATGTTAAAGAAAATGTCTTCATATGGTAAGCTTTGTAGGTAAAGGCCTACATCTACTCTTCTACTTGGGAAGAAATATACCTTTGTATCTCATAGGTATGCCAGGTATCTGCTTCCCACTCTTTCAAACAGCATTTATAGCTGATAAATACAGAACTGTCAGCTGGTACTGTCTGTTGCTCTGTTGAATTCAGTATCTTAATCACAAATACCAGAGAATCAAGTAAAAGAGGTGTGAAACAAAAGTGGCTGCATAATGCCTGGGTGTGTCCTGATAATGTAGGACTTGGTCTCTGCCTGGCTCTTAATTGCTTACATAATTCTCCTGAGCTAACTAGCATTGCTTTTGTTAATAATGTAATTTTGCAGTTTCTTGGATGCGCTGTGAAGACAGAAGTGAAGCTGTGAATCGAGGTTAATTGAAATGCTTACGTGATGGTGATGTGCCAGATTCCCTGCTGTAAGTCTCAGGAGGAAACTTGCAGTAAGTGTAGCTTGGAGAGTAAGGACAAAGTGCCCTTGGCTTTTCCTTTGCTGCTTTCTGCATTTAGGTGAAGTTTAGGGCTCTGTGGCCCATAGGTGTAAGTCAGCAGTTTGAGAGGGTGCTGTGATTTACAAAATCCTCCCCACTGTGCTGTCAGTAGGCTGCTTACACCTCACAGTACCTTAGAGCAGAGGAGGATTTCTGACACGGTTCTTTCTGCTGTGAGCATTATCTCCAGCACTTCATTTACATGACACATGCTAAAGGTTACAAAATTGGAAATGTGCAGGAGTACAAAGCTTCTGGTCCCTTGAAAGTGCTGGCCAGAGCTTCTCAAAGCTACTTCTGCCTCCTTTTAATTCTGACAAAGGGACTAAGGATTGATTCTGACCCGTCACTTGCATGCCTGTAATATTTATTTCTTTCAGTGAACACATACCTGTATGAACAAAATCATTTTTGATAGTTTATTGTGGACTTAAGATCAAACATTTAAACGCTAACTTCCCAAAAGGGAACCCAAAGTCCAGAATTAAGTAAATAGGCTCCTCATAGAAAACCTGAGGAGAATCAGATGTGTTAGAAAGGGAGCCCAACTGAGCAATGAACAGGACTTATAAGAAATGTGCCCAAAGCCCCATGTTTTCCCAGATAAGACGTAATATGAACCAGCATGTCCATTCTGATCTGATCCAGAATTCTTTAGCAGAGTGAGAACCCCTGTACCTGTTCTCCTTTCTCTGCCTTATGGCAATTCATGTTGTGTAGTTCACCTCTAAAGAAAGTTCCTAGCCACTATTTTGCAGGGTGGTGTGTGGTTTTGCCTCTTTAAGAATGCATTCTGCTAAAGAAGTCTTTATGCAGAAGAGTGCACCAATAAGAAGATAGGGATGCCAGGAAGAAAAGGCTCTGTAGCCTATCGAAGAGAGCACTCAGCAGAATGGAGGCAGAGAGGTAGAAAGCAAACTTAGTGACCTTCACAGTTAGACAGCTGTTGAGAAGAGTATTTTTGGATTGTGATCTTGGATTTTTGTGTAAGAACCATTGTAGTCACTTAATAAATCTTTCTTTTGATCTGGCCTTTTGCCATAAGAATGCAGGAACTGGCTTGGAAAGTGTCAGTAAAATCCTGGGCACTGAATGCTCCCCACAATTAGGGGGAAATGCCAATAGAAGATGACTTGGATAGAACTGGCTAAGAAAAGATGATTAGTGCAGTGGTTCTGTGTGCATCTCTGAATACCCACATTATGTGTCTCTGTATTAGCACTGTCATTCCTATGCTCTGCTTTTCATCAAGACTTAGCTACTGTTAATTGTGGGGAAACCGAGCTAGCCTTGCTGATACTGGGATGTAAACAACTACAGCTGTTGTGCCTACTCTCAGGGAACTTGCAGGGGCTGTAAAACAGGAGGAAGAACAGTTGTGAGTGCACTAGTGAAGACATAGCTTTGCATATAAAGGTTTACAGTCTTGGAGAAATTGCGTCATTTTATATGTAAACAACATCAGAGTCAAGCAGCAAAGTAACCACTCGGCACAGAGAGGGAGAGAGGGAGAGAGGGAAGGAAAGGGAGGGAGAGAGGAGAGAGGAGAAAGGAGAGAGAGAGGGGAGGAGGGGAGGGGAGGGGAGGGGAGAGGGAGGGGAGGGGAGGGGAGGGAGGGGAAGGGAAGGGAAGGAAGGGAAGGGAAGGGAAGGAAGGAAGGGAAGGGAAGGGAAGGGAGGGAAGGGAAGGAAGGGAAGGAAGGGAAGGGAAGAAGGAAGGGAAGGGAAGGGAAGGAAGGGAAGGGAAGGGAAGGGAAGGGAAGGGAAGGGAAGGGAAGGGAAGGGAAGGGAAGGGAAGGGAATTTTCTTCCTCTTTGGAAAAGATATGGCTTTCCTATTTCTCCTTTTGTCCAACAAGGACAGTCTTGTTTAACTACTGTTATTGCTAGGCTTGACTCTCCAATAGTAAATGGGATAACTGTGTTAAGAGGCTTGCGTAGAGATGATCTCAGTTTTGCTCCAATCCAAATAAAATACTTCATCTAGGCTTTGGTGATGGGTGATGATGTTAGAATGAAACACTACATGGCAAAGCAGAATTAAGGTATTAGAAGTGGTAATTGCAACAAAATTGGAAGAGAAGTTGGAAGATTTTAATAAATTTGGTATCAGATAAGCATCATAATTTTGAAATTACTAAAACTTAATTTTATAACAAGTGATTTTCAAATGAATTACTATTGCCAGGATAATGCCATATGATTGAAAATAGTAAGATACATCTGTATCTTAAAATGAGACAAATATGACAGTTCATAGACTTATCTTCAGTAAATAATTTGATATGATAAAGATGGAGTTAGTAGGAATTATTAAGTGAACTTTTAATGTACATTCTTTGTAGGAAATCCAGCTATAAAACGTTCTGATGGGTAACATGCTATTCCTAAACTACAAAGAACTGACTACATGTAGGACAGCATTGACTTATGGGGTGAAATAAGGAGGTAGGTATTAGTCGAATCCTTGAAGATTTCAATTGGTAAGAAATACAAGGACCAGTCCTGGTCCATCTTGTTTAACTTTTGAAATAGGAATCTTTTTATTTACCAGCATGAAGTCCAGGCGTGTGCTGCTTATGCTGGCTGTTTGCAGAGAGTCAGAAGACAGTAGCAGTAGAGTTAAGGGTTGGGATATTGCTTGGAAGATCTGGATCATCTCAATGATGGAAATGATAGAAATAGGATATAATCAAAAGGTACAGTCTATAGAGGGTTGTGCACTTGGGCACTAGTAAGAAATTCTAATGTAAGATGGGAACTTACCATTTGGAAATAGATGAGGAGAAGTACTTCAGGCTTCTGTTAGCTGATAAAAATGTGGAATTAAAAAGAATAAATGGTATTGTAAAATTTAACAAAGATAGTCAAGTAAGACAGGGCAGGGCAAGGTCAAGTGCTGGACATAAATAGATCCATTCATCTGTATTAAAGGAGAGGACCTAAATTGGGAATTTGGCAGAGATAAAGGAACAAAGCAGCCTGTTTTATGTGAGGTGGCTTGAATAACTCAGTTTTCTGGATTGGCAGATGGGTGACTGAGGATATGGTAATGTCTGTAGCTGCACTGAAGATGACAACATCAAGGAGTCTGAGAGCTCTGTACATTATAGAATAATGCTGGCAGAAGAGCATATGCAAGTAAACTGGCCACAAATAAGCTTATATGGGACTGTTTCTAGCTACTCACAACAGGGTTTTGGTACAACCTTCATCCAAGTAAAGGCAGAAAGAAAATAACTACCTGCAGTGTGATCAGTGCACTTTGAAAGGGCTGTATGATGTGGTGTCTGGCACTGCAGGGACAGGAGTTGGGAGCTCTCAATGTCGTTTTCAATTCTTTGTGTGGCTGCAGGCACAAGGGTTTGTATGAAGTGTAGTGCAGCCTGGATGAAGGTGAAACCAAACTATTTCATGATCAGTTAAACACTGTGGAAGTTGCATTTTTGTTCAAAAGCCGCAGTGAATGTAATAAAAATCAGCACAGTTTAGACATAAACAAACTGGCTTTTTCTCCTTGCTAGAAGGAAATAACCTGAAGGTTATTTTTTTGCATGAAACATTAAATGTTCTGTTTAATCTGATGTAGAATATTTGCTATGGATACTTGAAAGAATGTCATAGCATGGATATACTTAGGATAAGGAAATCCTACTTTTGTCCAAGGAAATTTGAAGCAGAATTCTACTTCTTAGAAAGCTGTCAAAGGACTGGGTACGCCTGAAGCAGAAGAAGGGAAATTCTTCCTCACATTGAAGCTGTTGACCTGCACAAAGTCACCAAGTTTGTTGGGTCAGAGAGGAAGAGCATGAGAATCATGGCTTTCTACTCTGGGAACCAGCGTGCTCCCTTGGGAGGTATGTCCCCATCCCTCACTGTCTGGACAAAATCTAAGTGGTAACAGGAAGAAGTGAGCATAGCCTGCCTCAACCAGCCTCTGCTGAGGGGTCTCTGCTACCTAAGTAAATGCTCTGATCATTGAGCTGTTGCGTAATTGGGGACTTTCCTCCAACACAGTTTATCCCCTCCTTTGTTTTTTTTCCAGCCAAAACTATTCAGCAAATTTGAAGCAAATAGTTTAGACATGACTGAAACCACATTTTCCGGGGATTAAACTATTAAAATAAATAAATAAATCATCCAGCTCTAACTATTACCACTTCTAAAATCTATGCTGATTCTTTTCCATGTAAATTAAAATCTTTTTTTTTTTTAAACATAACAATTTGACCCATCTACCCAGACAGGGTAGTAAATTAGGCTCATTACTTATGCTGTTCTGGAGTGCACAGTGTCTGTTAGAGTACTTACAACTAAAGCTTATTTCTTCAGTTTACCAATCTTTTCCTCTCTTTGCAGCCTCTATCATCCCATCAATTCCAACAGTTGGTCCCTGTAGGAGAGGGGACTCTTCACTATTACATTTTCATCCTTTTCTAGTCAACTAATTTAAAACTAATAAAGTACTTTTTTCACTGGGCCTACTGCTAACTTGTTGATAGTTTAAATTATGCCATATTACTAGATACAAGTTAAACCATTGGAAACAAACAAACTAAAAAAGGATATCTCTAGATGTACTTGAGAATAGTAGGAAATGTTGCAGTAAAACAGAATTCCAGCTCTGAACCAAGTGCTGGACTTGATGTTGCCTGTAGAGTGGCAGCTTGAAGAGAGATTTCACTACAGAAAAGAACAAAATTTGGGTTTTTTTTCAGAATTTTCCAAGCAGTTGTGCAAGACTCCCCCATGACCTGTGTCACAGGCAGATGTGTAGCCCACGGAGTCAGTCGGGTGGTACGACCACAGCCCAGACCCCCTGATCTTACAAGGCCTGGAAGCCCTTGACCTTGAGCTGTCAAAAAGACTCAGGTAGATCATGTCAGATATGCTGGAAGGAAAGCAGCAGCTAGGGATTTGGGGACAAGCTGTTTGCTTTCCACCAAATTAATTTGATGGTAGAAAACTGTTTAGCCAGAACAAGGTTGGAACTAGATTATTGTCAAGGTCCTTTCCAACCTAAACCACTCTGTGAATCCATGATTCTGTGATTTTTGATCAGCTCACTTGGGCCTTGTGGAACTCCAGCATTGCATCTCACCTTTCCATCTGGTAGTTTCCAAATACTCTCCCTAGGCCATGGTGAGCAACTCTCTGATATATTTGTTGCAGCATTTTCAATTCCTGTTTGATTCCGTGTGTGATTTGCAGCCGGCTGGAAAAGTGAAGTGGTGGTTTGGCGCTTCAGAAGCCAGTGGAAGGATGGTTGTAGACATCCCTCTAGTGGCCCTGCAGCCTCTGGGAAGCCGGGAGCAGCTCCGGCATCCCCGGGCTCAGCATGCATGCAGATGCTGGCAAATGGATGCTCTCCTCTGTGGAGCTGGATTCTCTGTAGAGCTGGGGAACTGTAATGGCAGATAATATTTCCCTTTTTCCCTTTCACCAAAATTGTCCTTGAAACTCAGCACCAGTTCAGGCTGTTTAGAATGTTTATTTCATGCAGGCCACAATGCTGGAAGGACGTATCCATTTCACTGGCCACTGTAAAAAACAGGTGTACTGGGAGATGATATGGGGGAAGGGTTAATACTGTCTCTATGCTTTTTTAAATGTCAGTTTATTTAACCTAGAGAGAGAGAAATTTTGTCATCATTGAAAAACAGGCAAGTTATACTTGAAGATTAATCAAATGTTTCAGATTTTCTTGTCTCTTTTATACAAGACTGATAGGATACCAAGGGGGAAAAAAGCAAAAAAATAAAGTATATGTAAAATAAACATAAGGAACATTTATTTGTACATTTGTAGACTTTGGCTTCTCAACTGAAACTGTCAATAAAATGCTAATTTTGTTTATGTGTTTGGAACATTGAATGTATTTTGCTATTTAATTTGTTAAAGGACATGCAGTAAAAACAAGAGCCCTGGGACAGCATCTTTAGAGATAGGCAAGAGTTCTCTGGTGCTGTCTTCAGAAAGGCTGCTGTTCCAGGCACCCACTGTGATTGCTTCATGAAACACAGCAAGAAGTCCAGAAATTGCCCTTGTTGGTGCTGGACAAGCATCCTATGGAGGGTCCTGGGGAAGCTGGCACACTCTCAGGAGTCACTGCAGAGCAGAACTGATAGGAGTTTGCAAAGGAGATCAAGACAGTCACCTCCTTTCTGCAAATGTGAACAGAAGAGAGGAATGATTTGTCCAGAGGCAGCAAGCTGCCTGATAGCAGCGTGATGTGGTGGTGAAACGATATACGGGTTTATATGTAAGTAAAACTGTCCTTAAAAGGACAGTTTTTTAACTCTCCTTAAAAGCCCACACTGAGATTTCTCTGTATGGAAACAGAAACTACAAATCTCATCCTTCTGATAATGGTAGCTCTATATCTCAGTAACTCATCTGTACTACCAATATCATCATTGTGAATCCATTATTACTTTTAAAATGTGAATTACCTATACAAAATATCAAAGTGTAACAATTCAGCTCCAAGTGTAATTTATTCAGTTTTAACTCATGCCCATTTCAAAGCCCTCATTTGCTGTCAATAAAGCACATGGCTGAATGACTATTTCTAGTTGAACCTTGATTGTTTTAAACTGATTGGAAGCAATCAATTGAATGAACAGACACCATCCTGATCAGGTTTTGATTTCAAAGGTGGTAAAAAACTTTTTAAGTAGCAGTGGGGGAATTTTTTTTTCCCTTTAGAGCTGTATCATTTACTCTCTGAATCATAAATGCTGTTTTGCAGACTTCACTCCTTACCCCCCAAAAATAGCTCCCATGGGTCAATTTAAGCAATGGACCATTGGCATAAAGCCAGCAGAGAGAAGATAAATGCCTGAGAAGTTTTCAGACAACATCTATGTAAACAATTACTGTTGTCTTGTTTTCATTTCCAGGCAACTGATCCTCAGAGACACATACATAGCATACAGACAATATCTGGACAGCCTTCCAACCTTTTCTCTCCAAGCAGTCTGTATTTTCTCCACATATAAATGAACAGTATTTTTCAGATCAGGAATAAAATATATGTTTATTTGGAAGATACTGGTTTTAAAGACTCCATGAATGATCATCTAATGTCACATTATTTAATTCCTTTTTGAAAAGATTCCTGAGCTTCAATCTGCAGTAAAATTTTAATACAGTCTAGAGTCTTTCAGACTGGGAGAAACACATAATTAACCAATAAATACACACTAATCCACATTTGCTTTTTGTGCCCTCAGTGGTCCAGGGCTTTCAATGTTTTTGATACGTTCCAAACAAATCTGATCTGTGCATGGGGACTGCCAGTCTGTGTGTCAGCTTGGGCAATTTGAAAGACTGACATTTGTATTTATCCCTTTATTCAGTTCTCCAAGATAAATCTGCAATTAAGACTTCTTTGATCTCACAAGAAAGGCAATGCTAATGTTTTTGCTTTTATTTTGCTTTCTTTTAATCTCTCATCACAGGAAGAATTGATCCTGCAGTTTTTGAGGCAAATGTCTGTATTTCTCTCATGAATATTCTGCCAGGACGGGATAGTTTTGTGTAATTTCAGCTGTGTTTGTTTTCTCTTCAGCCACATAAGGATAGAAATAATCACCTCTGATAGCTTCTTGCCAGCCTGAGGGCCTCACATACATTGTTGGGGGGACTTTTTTTGTGAGAAATTGTTTCTTACACAAAACTAAAGTTATAGAGATATTGCAAAAAGGTTCTTTGACGATTTGCGGGGAGCAGCATTATCAAGTAAATCACAGTTCTCTGTTCCAAACTATGAATTCTGTGCAATCTCCTTTAGTGCATGGGATGGAGGCAGTGTGTGGATATTGTCCTGTTTTTGTAGGTATTTTAGGGATCGTGAATTGATCACAACAAACTTCTGGGAAGCTTGGTTTGATCCTTGAGTGCCCAGCTACCAGCAGAGTGTCTGGTGTCACTCAGAGCACTTTTATAGCTGTGCTATAAGAGGAAGAAATGGTCTGAAGGTTCACGATTGTCACCATAGGGAAATGGGAGTGAGTTCATTCAGCCGTTGGTTCATTCATTTATTCTACAAGCAACTTATTTTCTGGACACTCTGGAACAAGAGCAGAGGCAGAGTACAACCTAGCAGCTGAGAACGTCAGAAGACAGTTTCATCATAGTTTGGAAAGATGGATCTTACCAATATTAGCATGAGAGATACTGATCATCTGTCCTTTTCTAAGAACCAAAAATAGCAGATTCTTATTCCAGATAAAGACTTAAGCAGTTACTGATGTCCCAGCATGGTGCCAGAGCCCTCCAGGATCATGGAACACAATGGTTTAAGGCTTGCAGTCAGCCCCAGCACATGAGGAGCCAGCAGGCAAACTTTGCCACTGACAATGACAATAGCTAAAGTGACTTTCGAAATCAGTGTCATTCAATTATGCTTATTAATGAGGCTCTTCACACACAACAAAAAAGATTATTTGAAAGGAAGAAATTTGCTGGCTTTTAAGACCTTTCCAACCACTAATAATTTGAAGGACTCTTCTCTCTTCTTTACTAATCACATTATTTAAAACTGCAGTTTATATCTGAAAACTGACGAGTGATTTCCCACATCAAATGCAGGCTGACCTGGCAACTTGCAGCATTTGTTTCAGTTACAGAGTCAGCAAACCCAGGCATTTTATAATTACGGATCTTGGCTGTTGCTGTTGCTGATTAATACATTTAGATACTCAGCCGTTCTTATTGAAGGGAACACAAAAACAGTATTGGAGCTTTTTAATTTTATTATAGGGTCCTCAATTACCCAAGGGAGCTGCTTACACACACAAATATATTGAAAATGGACAGATATGGGCTCAACAAAAATAACCTTAATACCCTCTCAGAAAAAAAAATCAACAGTTATTACACAAATTCAGAGTAAGGTCCTATCACATTTGCAAGTGAACTCGTATTTAAGTTCAGCATCACTCAGGAATTTTTCCTCTAGTCCAAGTCAAATCTTTTCAGTTAGTTAGTGCACTGAGCTTACACAGTACATTGTTTTCCAGTGTTGCAAGTGGATAATATTGTACATAACCAAATAGTAATGACAGTGTTTTAATCTTCAAAAGTCCATTCGTTTCACTAGAGGTGCACTATTAGAACAGATGTATTTAATAATTATAGTGTAATTGTCATATTGCAGCTTCTCCTATTTCACTGTGACAATTGTGTAGTTAAAAATGAATTCTACAGCTAGAAAACCTGTACATATGAGGAAGGAAAAACAGCCACTAGAGATTTGTTCAAAATGAAAAATCCTAATGTTTCATTTAAATAATGTTCTGCTTTTGAAAACAGATTTCCTTAACATTTGTAAGATGGTTATTTTGTAAAAATATACTTCCTTACTCCACAGATAAGACAAAGAGTAATGGGTAAGAGAGTAGGTTTAGCCTAAATATTAGGAATATTTATGCCCAGATAAGTTGTGGATGCCCCATGCCTGGAAGTGTTCAAGGCCAGGCTGGATGGGGCTTTGAACAAGGACGAGAGGACATAGCCTTAAGCTGTGCCAGGGGAGGTTCAGGTTGGCCATCTGAAGAACTTCCTCACTGAAAGGTTTTTAAGTATTGGAACAGACTGACCAGGGAGCTGGTGGATTTACCATCCCTGGAGGTGTTCAAGGAACGACTGGACATGACACTTAGTGCCATGGTCTAGTTAACAGGACAGTTAGGGCTGGACTCAATGGTCTTGGAGGTCATTTCCAACTTAAGCGATCATTCTGTGATCTAGTGGAAAGTGGCCCTGCCCACAGCAGGGGAGTTGGAACTAGATGATCTTTAAGGTCCTTCCAACCCAAACCATTCTAGGATTTTATGAACATGTAATAAAATCCCACCATAACACAGAGCATTCAGTATCAGTTGTTAGTGCTGTTTTATGGCAAACATTGTCCTGAGTTGTTGAACCAGCGTAGGGGAATCAACACTTCTCTTCAGAACAGACCTCCGTCCCCACCAAAGCACAACAGCAATGTAAAAAGTCAAATAGAGAGTTTGCCATCTGGAAAGAAGCCAGCCACTGAAGGACAATCTTTCTGTGCAAAAAGATGCTCTTACTGTCACTTCCAGCTTCACTGTAGGAGCACATTCCCCATTTTTACCGTGATATATGTATTAATTCCATGCTTGTATTTATTATTGTAACAACTCAGCCTGTAGTTTGCATTTTACAGAGACAGAAAAATAGTATCCAATACTGAAGTCCTGCATTCTGGAGCTGGAAGTTGGTAGCCCATATGTAAGAAGTCAAGATTACTTTCTATCACAAGCTTGCACTTGTTTTTTTTCCCAGTTGTGAGTAGATGCATAGTTGTTGATGCTGTGAAATCAGGAGAACAAGGACTTGGACTTCCAATTTAAACACAAACCAGCCAACACACCCCCTTAAAGTCCCAAAACCTGTGGTGTCACTTTTCTGTACTGGAGTGAAGTGAGCCCAAGCATGGCATTTGTATAGTGACAGTTCATTAGAAAACCCAGTATCAAAACTCCACAGTTTCATTTTATGGATACTAAAGCTGGATGAATACAGATACAGTCCATAAGTATTTCATGTATTTTTGCAAGCTGAGCCACAAAGACGTCATGATACTCAGCCAAAGCTCTGCCATATGGAAACTCTGGGAACAGGAATGGGCCAACTTAAGTAGTTATTGACCACAACATTTCTCCTGAAAATTGCCATGGGATTGTGGCATCACAAGATGCAGATCTGTTAACTGCCAGCACCATGTAAAACAGATTTTAAATTTTCACATAATTTAAAATGTTTGCAGTTACAAAGTGAATTCCAACAAAGGCAACCCAACGTGTTTTATTAGACTATTTCATATTTTTGTAAGCGTATTTTATTTCTTTGCTGTACAAAGGCAGAAATGCAAACTATCTCAATAAATCTACATCAGTAACTACCTAGACATAATACAGGTATGTACACAAAGCCCAATTATTTCACTTCAGTGTTGATACCATAGTTCATGCAGAGCTGGATGCAAACAATGCAAACAGCACCTACACAGTGTAAGGCATAACTCTCAGGATATTTACACCTTGTTCCTTATAGCAAAAGCTTCCTATACACCACTTCTTTGCTAAACTTGTCATTGACAATTCTGCTTAGTAGTGCAGAACTCAGAACTGAAAGTGCATTCCTTCATTCTATACATTCTCACACAGATTGCAGACTGTTCCAGGAATAGTTTTCCAACCTTCAATTTTAGAGGCAATTAATTACCTATGTTTTTTGTCAATTAAAATTATAAGGTAAAATACCTTATAATTTTCCCAAAGCTCTGTAGATCCCATGCAATTATGAAAACAAGGCTCCTAAAAGCAATTCCAGGAACTGTTGTGTCTTTTGACCTGGTAAGATAAGTAATCCTATGAAAGCACTGAATCAATCCACTGCTGTTTTTTTTAAAACACTTTGGAACGTTTCAGGTTATGAAGTTTGCAGATCCGAGCAGCTTTGGAAAAGTTCCATAACACAGGTATTTACATTCTGTATTGGATTTTTATGTTGTAATTAATCTGGCATCTCAGAAAAGTTTTTTTCTTCCCTCGGAGATCTCACTTTGAAAGGAAATTCAAAAAGAAATATGATTACTGTCAATGAAGAAAATACAATTCTGACTTACTTTACAAGCAAAATAAAGTAAAAAAATGCCTAAGATTAAAAAGTCAACTCTTCCCCTCAAATATAAAGCAGCAGTGCTAAAAATAATTTTTCTTTTGTGTTCTGAGCTACTGCAATTCCTTCCACATTTATTTTTATGCCACAACATCCTGAAGCACTGGAGCTCCTGAGAGACTATATTCCATCCAATCTTGTTTTAGGAGATCAAAATACTACATCCCTTCTTCTTAGTCTTCCCTCCCTTAGACAGGGCAGGAATGAGCAACAGCAGCGCACTCATTTGAAACCACATCCCAACTGTCATGTAACAATCTCAGCTGAGCTGGACTCTGTAGTGCAGCAGCTGAGAACTGACACACATTGTTCCATCCACAGAGTGCAGCTCTGACAGGAAACCAGTAACGAGTGAAGGAAGGAAAAGGTCAGGGAACAAGAGTGCCTTGCTGTATGTGCACGTGCCTGACTCTCTGACCTCCTGCTGCTGTGAAGTAACACAACAACGGAGACTTCTCTTCCAGGCGTTTCCTATACTCCCACACATCTTGGCCCACAAACTATGCTCAGAAAATTATGCTTGTACAACAGTAGAGTTTACAAATTCATCAGAATGGTATGACTATCTTAAAAAAAAAACAACACATGTATAAAAATGTAAATGGAGGACATTACCTTCATCAGGAGGAACTGATGGTTCAGTTTCAGAAGTGACAGTATCCATATCTTCACAAGTTTTGGCATCTGGCTTCTCTTTTTCCACCTCACATAGATACACATCAATGGGTCCTTTTGTGCTCTTCACATGTACTTCTATGTGATCCTATAAAACAGCAACTTGCATATAATTCAAAAATTCAAAGAACAAATCTTACACATACTTTATCTGTTCTTGCACATATTTTAAAGCCAATAGATTAAGAACAGAAAAAATACAGGAATGATATAACTATTTAAAATTGTTTTACTACTTCCACATAAATAATGACTATTACATATATTTGTAGGACAGTTTTTAAGCAGCACTAAGCTAATAAGTTTTCATTTTTGAAGAAAATGCAGTTAAGTACTTGTTTAGTCTTTCTACTAACCTTTAGATATATGACCAAGATTTACTGTATGTTTAGGAAGAGTAATAAAATTTCAAACTTGACAAATCAATGCCATGGATCAGAAAACAAATCAAGAGCACGCAGCTTTAACAACACAGCAAAGCAACTAACCCCTATCACTTCTACTACTTCCCTTCAGCAGACATCACATTGCAAGACACAGAGCAAATATAATTTTATGGACAACTGAGAGAAGATTCTGTTCTCTCTAAAATACAGTTTTTTAAATTCTGTCTTTTTATTGCTTTAGGAAGTCTTTGGAATTTTACCTTTTTCATCTCCACTGGATAAGAGCCAGCTCCTTTTACCAGGGAAACCATTGGAGATCTATGCAGTGGAACTAAGTCTTCTTGTTCTACTGATTCATATCTCCTTTTCCTAAGATATCACCACCCTTTCTGTGCACGCAGCAAGGCAAATTTGACGACTGTGCAATTAAGAACATTATAAAAAATGCATATGCAAAAAGAAAGCTGAATTAAAGCTACATTTCTTATCTTAAGCTCACTTCCAGGATTTCCCCTCTCAGAGCAGTACTTTAAGCAGTGGGTTCTCAGTATTTAGGCCCCAGTATGTAGATACAGCATTGCTGGGTGCAGAGGGAAAAGGTCTGGCTCCTCTGTGTGACTGGAATGAAGCCTGAGTATTGCACCATGGGGTGAGGACAGGGCACGGCCCCCACCTCCATCAAAGATCCATCTAGACATGATCTACTAGAGTGACAAAATGTTTTCTTTTTTTCAACTATACTGCACATTTCATACTTTATTACAGCTGTTCCATTCTCTCTAGCAAGACCCAGGTACCTAAAGCCTAGACACTATTATTTAATGATTTAAGTAAAAATACTGTAAGTTTCTCAGACTATTATCCCTACAGCATTGTTCAGTGGAACACAAGAACAATGAACTACCAATATTTGCATGACAAAGGAAACAAAAGTTAATTACTGACTGCTGCTGCAAAAAGTCAAATTTGAGAACTTACATCTTTAGGAACTGGTATTTCCAATTTGGTTTCCTCCGGAGCTTTGATTGCAATCACAATCTGTTCTTGAAATGTCTGAATGCTTCGGATATCTTGGTATGTAACATAAGCTAGTGTATACATTGGTCAAGGATTCTGTAAAGTAATTTGCTAATGAGCAGAAGCAAAGAGTGTGATGTCAAGATATGCTGAGGCAAAATACCAACTTAAGAAAAGTGGTCAACAATGGTGTTGAGGTTATTTTAGTATTAGTTTTGTAAAATGAAGCTAACAAGTTAGCTATTGAATTAGCTAACAAGTGGAAAACAGCTTTTCTTTATTTCTAGGAAGAAAAAATATATTCAATATTAAAAAACCCCAAACACATTTGACATTTTTCCCAGATGCTGTCATGAATCTACAAAGCAGAGGGAGAAACTACTTTCTGTTTTCTAATAGCATGAAAATAATTTCCTGGGAAACTACAGAACTATTTTCTTAACCAGAACAAGTAAAGTGTAAAGAAAACGGACACACTTCATTTGAGCATAGACCTTAACATTTTGGCAAACAAGGGAGCTAAGTAATATTTTACTGTAACCTAAAGCCAAAATTCAACATTTATGTCATATTGTAAAAGAAATCTCTTTTCTATTGCCAAAACCCATCTGTAAGTCAAAATTGCACTGGAACCTCTCTCAAGAGACAGAACAGTATTAGGACACAACCAACATACCATTATATCTTCTTGGCAACAGGCCACTGGGACTCCATTTTGAGTCCATATTTGTCATCTCGCTAAGGAACTCAATCTCATGGTAGGTCAAGACCTGTCCCTTAGAGAACTTTATAATGGAGAGAACAAGGTCATGGTCAGGGTACTAAGACCATTGCTGCACTTTGTTCTTCTGCAGGGGAAAGGTTACACAACCAGTACACACCTGAGAACAGGCTGGACTGTACATGATACTGCAAAGCAAGGTACATGACTGGCAAACACAAATACAGAATAACCAAAAAGTTTCCTTTTTTAAAACTCATCAAGTATTACTGCATACCTGTGGTATGGGCCTATGCTTGTTACTCTGTATGTGAGTAGTTGGAACCAAAATCATGTGTTAAAGTAATGCAAGAGTTGAAAGGATATTTTGCATTTTCTTTGTCATCTGTTAGTTCAAATATCTGATGAGCACAATTGTTGATTAATTCATCCAGAGCTTCCTCCATGGCTGACAAGTCAGAAAGTTCATCTTTAAGGTTTTGCTGCTCTGGTGCTTTTCCAACAACTTGGTCAAGATTAGAACCTCTAAAAGAATATGAAAGTTGTTTAGTATGTTTATCAATAAAAGTCTGTTAATACACATGTGTACTAACAGAAAGCAGTCAGAAACTCTGTCATCCTTTACTCTGCTGAAATAGCTCCCATGTGCTTTTGCTCTTGATACTTGTTGACATATTAAATAATTCACACAGCCTAAGGATACAAAATATTATCTATGAAAAGTAATTTAATGCTTAAAAATACTCTCAAAGTTATAAACATTACTCAATATTGTTCGGTTTTACTGTTTCAGAAATTAGAAGTTTCAAAGCCAACTCACATCCACTGGATAAGATTCTTAGACCTTTTCTGAATTAAATCGATTCCATCCAACACATTGGTGATGTCATACACTCTTCGTTTTCGTACTCCAAGTGTTGTTGCTACTTCATTTAAATCAAGAACACCGTCTGGAGCTTTTTTGAGAAGAGCCATAAATCTTCGTGTCAAAAGCACCAAGGACGCATCAAATCGTGGCCTTTTGACTTCCACAGTTTCTGTGAAGTTTTGATAGAATATTTAGAGTAAGCTACTACATTAGCATGAAGTGTTCCTTAAAAAAAAAGGGATAGTGATGAAGTAACAATGAAGATAAAAGTTTGGAAGCACTGCAGTTTTTAATGCTGACATTGCAAAGGCATCATGTAAAGCCTATTAACTACATATACCTTTGTTTGTTTGCAGTGATTGTATCTACATAGCAAGCATGCACCCTCGTGCTTTCAACATTTATGACTTCATGCTGCTAGTATGGATATTAATAGTTGTGTAACTGTATGTTCCATAGGACATGAGATAGATCACTGAATGAATACCAATGAAATCCTGGGTTAACAATACACAGATAGTCAGGGGCACTGCCAGAGAAATGCAGCTCTATCTCTGCTCCATGACACCATTAAAATGTTTTTTTCACACCCTTTTGGCCCAGATTAACCAGCAGACCTCCCAGATAACAATCAGGCATGGTTCAGGAGTCAGCTTGGCTTCAGGACTGTTTCAGCCTAGAAATGACCAATCTGTTCTGGGGTAGGAGAACTTAATATGTGCACAAACTCTGTTTGCACTATTTGGCCTCAGGGCAAAAGAACTGGTCATTCCATTGTTTAATTTACTAATAGAATAAAGATCTACAGACACCCTAACACCACAGGTTTAAGAGAGATCCCTGTGCTATGTGTATCCATTACCAACATATTTGCAGAAACAGCTGAAAAGTCACTGACAAACAGCTTATTTAACTTGAGAATGTTATTTGTGTATGCAAAAAGCACAAAAAAGCATCTATATTTGAGGCACAAAAAAGACATGATACACACACACACTCATTTGATGCCAGAGGCAATGAAAGACTGTTAAATTCTGCTATTACTTGTCTTTTCTCCTGTAAAGCAAACTAGGTATTTTATACCTGTGAAAAATCTGTTCATCTCGAACTGTGTTGCTGAGCAATACTCCAGTCTAATGCTTTAAGAAAAGGTGACTGCATGTGTAAACAAACTTCCCTGGAAAATGCTCTACTTCAAACATCAGTATTTTTCCCAAGATGAATGAGACACGTACTTTTACTCATAATGTATCACACCCATTACATGGGTTCAAATCTGTGCACTCTTTAACATGAAGTGACAGGTCCAACTACTCAGTTTTGGACTGTGTTACTTTGAGATGTGTGAAAGAATTCAACTGGTGAGAAAACAACAAAAAAACCCCAACAAAAACCAAACACCCAGAAATTCACTCAAGTTTATTTTTACATTTATTAATACCAGTTGAAAACCAGCATTTGCCAACATGATGTTTCAGTTTTCTATAACTCACTTTTCCCGAGCATTATTTTCTTTATAGCAGTGGGAAGGTATATTTGCAACAAATTTTAAGAGCAAAACTATGAAGAAGTATTGCTTCACATCTGTTATTTCATTTAGTGTTCAGCATTTCTCCTGCTCTGCTGATATGAGATACATTACAATTTCTCATTTGTTTACAGCATGTACTCACATTGTAAAAAGCCATGAAATACTTAAAGAATAATCTTCCAACATGAAACACAGCAACTTACTTTTCACAAGCTGTGCATCTTTGTGCACATTCAGGTTGATCGCTGGTGGCTGGGGAAATAAAAAAGGAAAAAATAACTGTAATAAAATGCTATTTACAGGGGAAGCTTTTTCAGAAGAAATTCCCAAATCAACTTCAAATGCTACAGCCATCACAGTGCTGACAATTCTACAGGTATTAATGTGAAGGAGTGTCACCAGACAGAAGGGATACGTGCTCATTATTTCCTGACAGAATTTTCAGCCCTTAATCTCAGCATATGTCTCTCTGTTTTGGAAAGCAGGAAACACCACTGAAGGCCCTAGTGTTCAAGCAATGGTCACAACACAAAGAGATAACTGCATAATCTCTATAAATCCAAGCTTCATCTATTCCATGTAGTAGTTTATATATGGAAGATATACTGCTATTATACAGCACTGCAGTTATACGTTATAAACAAGACTGGCAGCAGAGCCTGCTCTGGGCGAGATACTAACGTGATGAACCTAAGCAGGTACTTCATTACACTCCTCTCCCCAATTTAAGAACAGAAGCATTTTCAAATTCAGACTCATTACAGTTGGAAGAGACCTAAGGTCACCGCTGGTCCAACCGCCAACTCCAAACACGAACAGCCATTAGATGAGAGCAGCTTATGCAAGGCTTAATTAACTGGGCCTTTAAAATTACAAGGGATGGAGGCTACATCTCCCTGAGCATCCCACTACACTGCTTCCCTGTCCTCACAGTGAAGAAGTTCCATTTTACATCAAGCTGCAACCTCTCTGGCTTCTTTTGTTTCAATTCGTGACTATTTTCTTTCAGCCTCTCATCACGTACAACTGTGAAGTGTCTGGCCAGTTTCTTCAGTTCTTAAGATCCTTGCAAGTACGGCATGAAGCTGTGTCGGGGGTGGTTTAGTCAGATATTATGAAAAGGTTCTATATTATGAAAAGGACCAATACATCTGTTCTAGAGCAAGCAGCAGTCACAAGTATAGAAGCCATGTTGCTGAGAACACAGCTGCGATGGGCAGGGCACGTCTCAAGGATGAAGGACCACCACCTCCCTAAGATCCTGCTCTATGGTGAACTTGCCACTGGCTGCCACAAGAGAGGAGTCCCGAAGAGGAGATACAAGGACTCCCTGAAACAACATCTCAGCCTTGGCCATATTGATCAACATAACTGGTCTACTCTGGCCTCCAATCGGGAGGCCTGGAGACACACCATCTATAATGCTGCTGTCTCCTTTGAGAGAGGAGAAAAGGCAACGCAGAAAGAACCGTGTATTGCAGAATACACCATCTAAGGAGTCTTTCTGCTGTGCCTTTTGCAATCGACATGTCTGTCTCGTATTGGCCTCATAAGTCACCAACGAGCCTGTAACAAATGTGGATAGAGCCTTCCCAAATCTTCGGTCGCGAAGCCCAGCCATGAATGAAAAGGTTCTTCCCCCAGAGGGTGGTCAGGCACTGGAACAGGTTCACCAGGGAAATGGTCATAGCCTGACAGAGTTCAAGAAGCTCTTGGACAACGCCCTCAGGCTTACGATGTGATTCTTGGGGTTGTCCTGTGCAAAGCGAACAGCTGGACTTGATCTTATGGGTTCCTTCCAACTCAGGATATTCTATGATTCCACTGAAGGGCTGCTGCAACAAGCTCCCTCAAGAGTTTAACAGCCTTCCTGTACTACTGGGCCTAATCAGGCAGAGCATTCCAAGAGCAGCCTGATACATGCCAAGCAAGGAAGAAGAATCACTACCCTCTGGCTATTCTCCTGCTAATACAGCTTCCTATGCCTTAACGTTAGGGCACAGTGCAGGTGCACACTTAGCCCACTGGCCATCAAGACCCCCAGGTCCTTCCAGGGTGGTCCCCAGCCTGTACCACTGCAGGGTACAGTGTAGGACTTCACACTTGAATTTTCCAACTGCCTTGGTTGAAGTTTATGAGGTGTCTGATGATGCCTTCCTCCAGCCCATAAACATCATGAGGGGGCATCTCACATCCTCTTCCTATGAACAGGACAGGTCCTAGGATAGACTCTTGAGAAACGTCACTTGTAACCTGCTTCTGAGTAATGTATGAACTACTAACCATTCTTCTTTGATCCTGATGATTCATCCAAGGATTTTTTTACTCATCCAGTAGTATATCACATCTGTAACATCCCAACTCCAAGAGAAGAATGCTGCAGGACAGTTTCGAGAGTCCTGCTAAAGCTAATGTAGTTGACATCCAAGGCTTTGGATCTACAGATCTAGACATTTCATCAGCAACGGGGTAATCAGGCAGCCATGTTGGCTATTCAATCACCTTCTTCACGAGCCTGGCAATAGCTTCCCAGAGAACTTGCTCCATGGCTTTCAAAGGGACTGAAGAAAGGGTGACTTAAGCTGTAGCTGACTTCTACAACCTCAAAAATCACAAGAGCAACCTCACAATAACATCAGCCAGCTCTCTCAGAATGTATCCCAAGAAAGTCTTATGGACTTGGTTGGGATGGGTTTTCTCAAGAGATTCCTAACTTGACACTTTTCCACTGCTGGTTGTTCTTTAAGACACAAAGCCTAGGAGGCATCAGTTCAGAAGAGTCACACAAGAAGGCCAAGTATTGCAGCCTTACCTGTGTCTAGTCTTCCTAAATCACCTGCCCCATTTAGCAGCAGGTTCACCTATTTCCCCCTCCCACCCCTCTCCTCCCCTGCTGTACTGCTGGTGTACAACTGCAGTGTGAGCTGCAGGTTGAGCTCAGGGCAGTTCATGGCCTCATGTCTCTCTTGGCTCCCACCCAAAGCTCAATTTGCAGCTTGGAAACCGAGCCACCTGAACCAGATGTATTCCTCAACATCCACTATTCCATGGTGGGTTGTAGTGGGTTGACCCTGGCTGGATGTCAGCCACTCACCAAGGTCACTTTATCACTCCCCTTCTCAGCTGGACAGGAAAGAGAGAATATAACAAAGGCTCACGAGTTAAGGACTGGGAGAGATCACGCACCAAACACCATCACAGGCAAAACAGATTCAAACTGGGGATACTAACTGAAGTTATTACTAACAAAGTCAGAGCAGGATAATGAGATGTAAAATAAATCTTAAAACACCTTCCCATCAACCCTCTCTCCTTCCCACCAGCAGCTCAGGAAGATGGAGAATGGGGGTTATGGTCAGTTCATCACAAGTTGTTTCTGCTGCTGTTTAGAGAGAGGACTCCTTCCCCTGCTCCAGCATGGGATCCCTCCCACAGGAGACAGTTCTCCATGAACTTTTCCAGTGTGAGTCCATCACATGGGCAACAGTTCTCCATGAACTGCTGAGATATGGGTCACTCTTCCACGGGGCGCAGTCCTTCAGGCACAGCCTGCTCCAATGTGGGTCCCCCAAGTCCTGCAAGGAAACCTGCTTCAGCATGGGCTCCTCTCTCCACAGGTCAGGTCCCTGCCAGGACCCTGCTCCAGCATAGGTTTCCCATAGGTTCACAGCCCTCTCTTTGGCATCCACATGCTCCGGTGTGGGTCTCCTCCACAGGCTGCAGGTGAATCTCTGCATCCCCATTGACCTCCATAGGCTGCAGGGGGCCATCCTGCTTCACCATGGGCTGCAGGGGAACCTCAGCTCTGTCACCTGGAGTACCTCCTCCCTCTCCTTCTCCACTGATCTTGGTGTCTGCAGAGTTGTTCCTCTCACATATTCTCACTCTGCTCTTCTCTGGCTGCAATTACATCTGTGCAAGAACTTATCATTTTTGTTCTTAAATGTGTTAATTACAGAGGCATTACCACCATTTCTGATTGATCAGCCTTGGCCAGCAGCATGTCCCTCTTGGAGCTGCCTGGCTCTATTGGACATGGAAGAAGCTTCTAGCAGCTTCTCAGAGAAGCCAACCCTGTAACCCCCCCCACATCCCTGGCTCCCACTACTAAAACCTGGCCATACAAACCCAATACACACAGCCACTACAGCCAAGGCTGTTAATAATCACCACATTCTTGACTTCCCTGTTTACAAAAAGCCAATTCAGGAAAGCATCACCCCTGGTTGACTCATCTCAACACCTAGATAGAGAAGCTGTGCCCAACACCCTTTGTTTTTTACGACCATGATTTCCAACGATAAGAAATTTTCAATTACCAGCATAAAAACTGATGTGAACTCTTTCATGGCTGTGAGAAAATACTACCAAGTACCATTTAGCCCAACTGTCAAAAGTAATTAAAAGAAATATAACAAATTTTAAGAAGTTTCACAGAAGTAGGCCTGTTTTTTTGTTAGCTACCTCATAGCATTACTAAAAGTTGCGGTGGCAGCTGTATATAAGACTGCCTCGACACCACAGATGTTCAGAGAAGAACAGAATACAGTCGTAGTCCATTTTTCTCAAACTCAGCTACAAAATATTTAGCTCGATTAAGAGGCTATAGGCAACACAAGTAAGAAAACCCATCCCTTTGCACTCTAGCCCCTTTCCCTAGCAGCCTGCTAGGGAAGCATCGAGGGAATGCCACGAGCGAGGGGAAGCATCGCATGGCTCCTTTCGGGTACCACGCTGCCCGGGCCCTCCGCGCCTTTCCCGCTCAGGGGATGCAGGACGGGCTTTCGGCCGCCTCCTCACCACCTCCCGCGGCAGGAGCGCGGCTGCAGCGCCGTGTCCCGCCCTCTCCCCATCCCCAGGCAGTGCCTCCCTGTGCCGCCCGCCATGTACCTCACTCACACGCAGCGTGTCCGGCTGCAGCGGCCTCAGGCGTTCCCACTTATCGCGGCTAGCCATGTCCGCCCGGCCCCTCCTCCTCCTCGCCCCGGCCGGCCCCGAGAAGCCGGAGGAGGGAGGGCGCTCGGTGGCCCTCACGGGAAGGCTCCAGACCCGGCCGGCGGGGGGCGCCCGCGGGGCCGCTCCCGCCGCTCAGCGCGGCCCGTCATGGCCGCCGCCTCCCGCCCCCATTACCATCGGCCCCCGCGGTGCGCGCGCTCCGCAGTGTCCGCCACCTTCCGCCCTGCCAGCTCGTCCCGGCTTTTCCCGCCCCCGTCGGGGCATCCCCCCGTCCCGCCGAACGTCGGGAGGAATGCGCTAAATCAATGCCTTTCCTCCCCCTCTCAATGCCTTTCCTCCCCCTCTCGTCACCGCCCCAGAGCGGCGGAGAAAAGGGTCTGCTCGCCCCCGCTTCCGCCTCGCCTGTGCCGGCAGCGGGAGCGCCCTGAGCCCTGCGGCAGCCAGTGTAGGCTAAGGGGGAGGATCATGGAATATGCTGATTTTGGAAGGGACTCACAAGGAGCATCGAGTCCAACTCCTGGCCCTGCATAGAACACTCCAGTAATCACACTGTGTGTCTGAGAGTATAATCCAAGCACCTCTTGAACTCTTGTCAGACTTGGTGCTGTGACCACTTCCAAGGGGAGCCTGTTCCAGTGCCCAGCCACCCTCTGGGTGAAGAACCGTTTTCTAATATCCAACCTAAACCTCCCCTGACACAAGTTCAGGCCATTCCCTTGGGTTCTGTCACTGGTCACCAGAGAGAAGGGATCAGTGTCTGCCCCTCCTCATCCCCTCTCGAGGAAGCTGCAACTGCAACGAGGTCTCCCCTCAGTGTCCTCCAGGCTGAACAGTCAAGTGACCTCAGCTGCTCCTTATACAACTCCCCCTCAAGAGAGAGGAGGTCCTCACTATTTTGGTTACTACAAGGAGGGAGATTTTTCTTCCTTCAGTGTACAGCAGTTATGACCCACTCCAGGAAAAAGGGGGGATGTAACCCAGGTTCTTATCAATAATTCCCTTGGGGTGGATTAGAGTGAAACGACACTGAATAATTGGTGTTTGAAAACATATATAGGTAGGGTTTATTTTAAAAGCATATAGGTAGGGTTCATTTTAACAATTTTGTTTGAACAGGTATGTTAGCATTTTGGCTGTTGTCATCTATATCATCTATCATAGAGATAACCCCTGGGGGGAAAATGCATAAGGGAGAGAAAGGGAAAGAAAAGCTGAGAGTGGAAAGATATATATATATAGTCACCGCCCACGGGGTCCAGCGATGAAACCTGGTAGTTGCAGCTTCCATGTCTGTCAGTTGAAGTGGTGGCCTTGATCTGTTGGGGGTGAAGGGGAGAAGCCCCCCCACTCGAAGAAGTTATGAGTTACTATATCCATGGTTAGTGTCACAGGCCATGCCAGGAGCCTCCAGCATCTCCTGGGTCTGTGCTGAGTTTCCGTGAGGGACCTGGCCAAAGGGTTTTCCCATCTTTCAAGATTGGGAGGGGGGGGGTATGGGGCATCAGAGGTGTAATGCAAAAGGCCTGCAGAAGCCTGCTAAAGTCCCTTGGCAATCCTAGAATGCATAAATCATTAACCTTTTCAGTCTCTGACAAGCATAAGCAAGGAGAGAGCACCCTGCTGTGCAAATATGTCTGAGAATAATTAGTATTGCTTTCTTGCCAAATAATCTGTTTCTGTCGTGACTTCCTAGTACGAGGCAGCCAAAGCTGCGTGTGTCACTCATGGGGCAGACACAGATAGAATGCCCATGTCAAGAATGAGTTAATTACGAGAGGCTCATTGGTGAAGGGCAAGGTATGTTCCTCTTGGGCCAGAGTGAATGTGGCTTGTCCAAACTCAGCCTGTCTATTTACCTCCTATCAACATCCTTTCCCCAGTGCTCCTGCCCTTTCCTCCACACTCATAACCTTTTTCAAGCACTGACTGACACCTTGCTGATTTGCCAACATCAGCAATAATATAAAAATTTCCAACTGAGTAGGTAACTTCTATTTGTCGGACAAAAGCATTTCTTTTAAAAACAGCTCCTTATTAAATAGCCCATCTGTTGCTTGGTTGCTCTTTATGGCAATTAACTCTCCTCTAAAGCAGATAAGTCTGTCATGGAGTCCTTTTGCTTAAAGAATTTATGAACTGTTCCACTTCTCCATCTACACTTCAAGTAAAATTTCCAGTCACTTCCCCTCCCCAGTTTCATCGGGCATTGTGTAAAACTGCCAGTCTGGTATGAAGAATTCAAAGCCATGAAGAACTTTGTTAATATTCTCACACGCCAGACTGAACAGGTCAAATAACACTCTGATATTTGAAAAAATACTGAATTAATTTTTATTTACTAGCCTTTCCATTTAGACAATCCTTTGGAGTAGTTTATGGTATCACCAAGGATAGATCAGATGCCTTGATAGAGGGTGGAGTTTTCTTCATAGCAACCAATTTTCAATCAAGTACTTGCTTGGTAGTAATTGTCCTTGTAGAGAACTGTTGAACTAAGGTGACTTGTTCTGGTATTCTAATGCTAATGAATTAATGAGAGTAAAAAGGGGAAAAATATGTTACAACTCCTCAAAAGCATGACATGTGTGTTTTAGGAGACATGAAGTCTGGAGCTATGAATTTCAAGACGTCATGCAAATGCTGATTGTCAGTATTGCGAGGCGAGGTTAGACTGCTGCAGAAGCAGAAGCTTTTCCTGTCATGGAAGGAACACGTGATTACACTGAAATGTTAAAATGCTCATTTTTGTATGGGCAGCATAATCCAATTGCTAACTACTCTGTGGTGATAAACTTAGTCCCATAAGGAATGAGTATTTCTCCCTCTTTGTTATACTGTGCAAGATGAATGTTATCATTGCAATTACAGATTGTATAAACCCACTGTGATAAAGCAGGTTTTTTCCAGCTGGAACAGCAAAATGGTTTGGAGTAGATGTCTTAGGCCACTTTAGTTTGAGGTGATGTAAGGAATATGTCATGCAGTGTGAAAGTCATTGAATAGGATTTGGTGACTGTTGGCTGGTCAGATATTAAGAGGGAGGCTAGCGACTCATAATCTGAGGATTAGGAGACACGAATTCCTGTATTAACCCATGTGGAAAACATTGCATCAACATTTAGCTATGCTGTTGTTCTAGCCAGTCATAAGATCAAATCCTGTTGTTCCTGTGCTTCTCTGTCCTTGCCTGCTGACGTATCTAATGGAGCAAAGAAGAGCCCCCCATGGATTCAGAGTCAGGAAGAGTTTTCTGTATTTACATGAAAATTAAGAAGCCTAATTATTTTTTTTAAATGAAAATTAGATTTTGAAGTAACTCACTTGACTATCAGAGTTTTTGCTGTGGCATTCTACAGATCAAAGAGTTTGATTCTAATGTGTTATTATGTACATTTTATAAAGATGACACATTCTTTATTACTCCTGTAGATGAAAATGAAACTTATACCCCATTTACTGTTATTTTAATGCATATGAAAATGGTTGTGCATTCTTTTTAATATCTCCAGACATTAGTCATATAAGACATGATGCTTAAAATGAAAGATTTGCTTATTTATCTGAATTCTTTTTTAATTGCATTGATTCTTAATGTGCCACCAGGGGGCAATAATTCCATTTCCTAAATCTGATCCTTTACCATCAAAACCTGCCAGAACAGTGGGTTCAGTAACATTTTCACTATATGAGAAAATCAAAACATAACTTTCTTAAAAATACTTCCCTTGTGTAATTTAATATTTTACCCTGCACTACTTTGGCATGTAGGTTTTATTTTGAGCAGCTAAAATTAGACTGCTTTGTAAAAGCAGAGAACCTCATGCAGCGCTATAATGGTGCAAGGTTTGGATTTCATTCAATATAGGATATTTTGTTGTTTTTATATTTCCATTGTAAGATCAAAAAAATTGTTTTGAGTGCCACTACTTTCCTATTATTTTTTTTTTTTGCTACACTAATATCTTATTAATATTTATTAGCCTATATATGTGTTCCTGAATTTGGGAATTACATCTCCTGACAGGTACCTCTATATCCTTATATGATATATATTTTTTCTTTATGTACATGGTAATTCCAGCATACTGCAGTTAAAGCCAAAATTGCCTTCTGCCTACAATACTGTATCAAATGCAATCTTCCCTTTCACAATTGTAACTGGATCTTCCATTATGTGCATATATGTTGTTGAAAAGATGAGCCAGAGGAAATATCTTCCTGCAAAGGTGCAAAAGTACAAAATCATGAAAGACAGCAATAGCTGTAAGTATCTGTTTAAACTTCAAGGAATTACAGAATCATCCATATTTTTGTATATTAGTATGTCTGTCTGTATAAATTTTCAAGCCTCCCTAAGGTCCTCACCACTGCATAACGATTAGGCATAAAGGTATAAATTTTTATGCTCTAAAATGTAATGACTTAAATCTGTTTCTGGCAATAGTAGAGTCTTTCTTGATGTGCTCAGCTTAACTTGACTGAAAAAAATTTCCTGTATACTTGGCAAATAGTCATCCCTTAATTTAAGAAGGCAGATCTCTTATTTCTTCACTTTGTTGTATGAGTATGAGGAAGAGCAAGTCAGTTAATCAGATCTGAACAGCGCAGTGCTAAACAACATTCTTTTTTGTCATGTCTTGAATGGCACTTAGAAGTCATGGATGTGGTATCATGTTGTATACATAGGGTTTAGCTCATGATACAAACTGAAGCTCTTTTTGTGCCTGTAATTCAGAAAAGAAGTTATATAGATGGAAAAAGTACCCTTAAGGTGACATTAAAGGCTACGTAACTAGCAAGTGCTTGCTGCATATGAACACTGGTGTGTCTTATTAAAAAGGTTCAGTGAATATTGTGTTCTTAATAAGGTTTGGATATTTGGCAGCAAGCCATCTGCCAGAGCCTAAGGATTCTAGGCAAAGGTCTTAACAGAGCCTGCTGGAGGTTTTCATCCATGCTAAGGAGTTTAGAAACAGAAGAAGATTCCTGTTGCATATGGGCATTATTATATTTGTTGTTTGTATCTTTTGAGTTGCAGAGGAGGTGCAAAATTCCCTGTTGTATTTAA